TCAGAGTTGAGATATGGAAGAAGCAAAAGATGGTGAAATTTTCAGAGCAATGATAAATATTACACTTTTTTGAGATTCTTCTCGGTCTAATTTTAAAAAGAGTTGTTATTTTAAGGAGTAAACAAAGTTTAAATGACCAGTCAAAAGATTGTTTGTGCAAATGGTTTTGTAGAGTCACAACACCATACATAAAACTAAATGATGTATGGTTATTCTATTATTATTGTTAGTCCTTTTCATTTATTTAATATTTAATATTATTAATTTTATTTTTCATTTCAATAGAATGTGAAAATGAAGTGAAAATAACATTTTGGTCTTTGTCAGTCAGCACCGTACATAAAACCGAATGATCTATTGTTATTCTATTACTGTTGTTAGTCCTTTTCATTTATTTAATATTTATTATTATTAATTATTTTTTTAATTTCAATGGAATGTGAAAATAACACTTTGGTCTTTATCAGTTAGCACTGTACATAAAACTGAATGATATATTGTTATCCTATTATTTTTGTTAGCCCTTTTCATTTGTGAAATGAGGTACGTTTTTACTAACGTGCCACACTAGTGTGCTATGACATAAAACTTAATATGTGTTAATAACCGATGTCACTTAAGCAATCAAGGCTAATTTGCTTCTTCTCCCGAATCTTGTGATGTTGTGAACATCCCAAGTTAACATTAACATTACTTAATATGGGGTTGTCAAATAATCCAAAAAAAAAAAAAAAAACAGATCGCTTAAGCGATTCAGTATATATAAGCCTTCATTGCTTAAGCGATACCCGAAATCACTTAAGCAAGCAAGGCCAATTATTGTCAAAATCATCCTCAAGTGCACGATTACTTAAGTGATATCATGGCTCGCTTAAGCTATTTAATATACATAAGCCTTTGTCATTGAAGCGATACCATACAACGTTTAAGCGATCAAGTCCAAGGCAATAACAAGATCATCCCCAAGTGCATGATCGCTTAAACGATGTCAGGTCTCACTTAAGTGATCTAGTATATTTAACCTCTGTCGCTTAAGCGATATTATACATCGCCTAAGTGATCAAGTCCAAGGCAGAATCAATATCATCCCTACGTGCACGATCGCTTAAGCAATGCCAGGTCTCACTTAAGCGATCTAGTATATTTAACATTTGTCGCTTAAGCGATGCCATACATCGCTTAAACGATCAAGTCCAAGGTAATAACAAGATCATCCCAAGTGCATGATCGCTTAAGCGATGTCAGGTCTCGCTTAAGTTATCCAGTATATTTAGCCTTTGTCACTTAAGCGATGCCATACATTGCTTAAGTGATCAACTCAAAGACAGAATCAAGATCATCCCTAAGTGCACGATCGCTTAAGCGATGCCAGGTCTCGCTTAAGCGATCTAGTGTATTTAACTTTTGTCGCTTAAGCGATACCATATATCGCTTAAACAATCAACTCCAAGGCAAAATCAAGATCATCCCCAAGTGCATGATCGTTCTTGCTTAAGCGATCTAGTGTATTTAACTTTTGTCACTTAAGCGAAACCATATATCGCTTAAACAATCAACTCCAAGGCAAAATCAAGATCATCCCCAAGTGCACGATTGTTTAAGCGATGTTAGATCTTGCTTAAGTGATACAGTATAGAAAACCCTTGATTGCTTAAGTGATATACTCCGTCGCTTAAGCGATCATTCCCAACAACTATTAATTCTATCTTTTCTCCTCAATTTGACAACCTAATTGCACCAACACATATTAATTCTATCTTTTCTCCTCAATTTGACAACCTAATTGCACCAACACATATTAATTCCATATTTTCACCTCAATTTGACAACCTATTTGCATCGAGACATATTAATTCCATTTAACAGGATCACTAAATAAACTCAAAGTTAAAAAAGGGAATGAAATATTGAATTGCTCTTTATAAATATGAAATGTGTCCTTAACACGAAAATACAACATTATAAACAAGAAATAAATGTCCTAAAGCAACCCAAAATAACAATAGCTTTGGCAGCCTCCATCCTCCCTCTTCATCATTGTCTTCAGCCACTACCCCATCATCCAAAATTATCCAACACCCATTCAGCATCAGCAGTAGCCTCTTCGTCTAACAACACCAGCTGATCCAATTCAAGACAACCCAATTATCCATATAAGAAATGCAATTCACATACACTTAAAAACTCTAAGTCCAACTTCCATACCTGTTAATGATAGCACCAACAATTACTTGGATTGGGTTCTGGTCTGTGAAAAGGTTGATAATTTCCATGGTGTGCTTCAAAATCCTAACAACAATTAGGAGAATTTGTATTAATAATGAAAACAACATTATAATGAAAATAACAGAATTTCCATGTTCAAGTTACTTGTGCCCCAGCAAACAACATTTCATTAGTAAAACCATGCAATAGACTTGGCCGACTGGTTTATTAAGGCTAAATTCATCATTGTAATAAGCATAAAAGGAATTTTTCTCTTCCTCATCCACTACCCTAAACAAATCAAGCTTTGATTGCTTCACTTCCCCACTTCCTCCTTGTTCTTTCGTATCAGCTTGCTTCACTTCCCCACTTCCTCCTTGTTCCTCCTTATTAGTCGGTTTAGCTTCCCCACTTCCTTCGGCTTCCTCTTTTTCTTTCCTAACTCTCCTCTTCTTTTCATACCTTAATTTCGTGAAAGGGGATTTCACATACTTGCTTTTTCGGGTCTCTCTTTTCTTTGGTTGAACTTCAACCATTTCCAAGACCACATCAACCTTCTCCTCCACCATTTGCACTCTCTCATCTAATTTATCTATCTTCTCATAAACGGTGCTACTCAACATGTCAAACTTGTCGCTCAACATGTCAAACTTGTTGTTTAGACCGTTTATGAGGTCAACCAACTTAGATTGAGGATGCATTGAAAAATTGGTACTTGGTGTACCAGTTTGCCAATTAGGAGGAGGTGTACGAACCTCAACCTCTATGTCTTCCTTCTTATCCATCTCGTCTACTACACCTTTGGCCTCAAACACATGCTCAACAAGCAGCCCTTCAACTGCAGTCAAATGTGTGACTCCTTCTAAGTCTCGCATTAGGCAATCTATCTTCTCATCAGAAACATCGTCTAACGGTACAAACGATGTAACATAATCCATCCCCAATTCAGCCCTAGTAGGAGTGATGAACGGATGGACCACTCCCTGCAAAAAGAAAAAAAAAATCAATCAAATGTACAAAATCATTTAATCTATTACATATTCAAAAGACAAATCCTTTAATCTTACTCGAGCCACTTGGATTTCCATTTCTATTTTGTCATAGTCCTAGTGGGTGCTCTTCTTGGTGTGCACCGCAATGTCCTAGGAAATTGCAGTGCCTCATCCGAAATCTTTTTCTGCCCCTCTCCCCCCACCTTAGCTAGGACAGGACGACCTCATACATCCAAGCCTACATTGTAAAAAAATAGTCCATATCAGAATTAAAACACACGTATTACAAAAAAATAAACAAACACCTATTAATATTTACCTGCAGTGCCTATGAGAAGCCAAACAAATTGTACGTGTTGGGTTTCCCCTTCTCTACATATTGGCGGTATTTTACCGCCATGTCCTTTCCTAACAGGGAATCAATAGTTAACTGAAAAGATAACCTTCCCCATGGATAAGAATAAAATAAGTTCTGGTTACTTGCATATTGCACCCAATCTAGGTTTACGGCTTTCGTTGAGTCACAAGCCATCAGGATTAAGTGCACAAACCATACCAAGCACATTCGAAACTTCTTTTAAGAGGTATAATGATTTCCTTCCACTTTTAACCTCTCCTCTAAATCATGACCTGAAACTGATTACTGCCCTGTGAGAACGTTTCTAACTAATGTTTCGGCAGAGTTTCTATTCTTTACCCTTTCTTCAACTTCTATTTCTGGAAATGGCCCACAATTTAGGCCCGTCATTAAGTAGAATTCCATCATCCTAAACCGAATCGGCTTTCCATCAACCACAAACCGCATTTCATTCTTCTTTTTGCATTTAACAGAGTGCACCAAAAGATAATGTGCACCCTGCCCCTAGAAGGCCCGGTCCATCCTTTCCGATGCCTAACTAGAAAGTCCTTAATTTTCTAAACACTTGCCAACTAAACCTAACGGTAGCCCTTGCCGGGAAGTATGGCACAACATCATTTACAACCTCAAGCCCATAATCCTTATAATTTATGCTTTTAGAGCACTGCACAATCGATATACACTACATATTAGTACAACAAAAAACCAAAACAAGTAACACATTGGAGTGCATTGGGGAAGTGGCTGTTTTTGGGTTCCAGAGGTTCGGTGAAGACAAGAGAGGTTGTTGTGTCAGGTTCGGTGCTCTGGACTTCACCTAAGAGAGTTGCATAGGGTGGGCTTGGGCTTGCCTGCATATTGTAAGGCTGGCTGCGCGTGGACAACCCTGCAATATGTATGGAAGCCCGCTAGCCTCCCTATTCCACTCTCTTTTGCCAACAAAAGCCATCCAAACTGCCAAAAAAAAACAACCTCCCTTGGCTTCCCGACCCCTTGGAAGACCAAAACACCCTACTTCTCCTATGCCCTCCAACGCTCGACAAAAAGTCACAATGACCCTAAACAAACACCATCAAATATCCTTAAATTGGCATAAACAAGCACTAATTTCATAAATATAGATTATTACCTTTCTTCATCTTCTTCCTTCTCCCCGCCTGAAGTTGAGCCGCATCCTCCTTTTCATTTTCAATTTGACTCATGCCCTCCCTTGTTCAATTGGTGGGATGTCTTCTGCCAGCCGTATTGTCTCCTGGTGGAGCAACTTCAGTCATCGAATTTGCTCCACCATAGCCTCCGATTCTCCAATTTTCGAACCTTCGTGCCCATGATTTGGAGAGAGGCTAGTCTTTGTCTAGTCTTTGTCAAAATCTTTGTTTAGGTCAGCCATTGTTTCTGTGTAAGTAAGAGAGAATGCTTCAATACAACAACAAATGATTTCGACAATGGGTGGCGGAAAACGGGAAGAAAAACGCGGTGAAGGGTGGCTGTTTCTGTTTGGTTTCTTAGATCGCTTAAGATTTGAATGTGGGGGGTGTTGAGTCCGCTTAATCGATTTTGATTGGGGGTCATTTTTAATTTTCAAATTTAAACAAATTTTCATCATTTTTAATTTTTAATTTAAATAAATTTCCATTAATCATATTATTACCCACACATGTTTAAATTTTTTTAGTTTAACATTTTTTTTTTTTTTTTTTTTTTTTCATGTTTAGATGATTCTAAGTTATCCATACTTAAAAAAAATGTGCAAAATTTTGTCGGAGTCATTCTTTTAAGCAAACTTGTTGCTCTGGAGTTAAATCTCTCCCTCCCCAACCCCCCCCAAAAAAAAAAATGCCCATCTCTGTCTCTCTTCTCCATGAAACTCCATTCTCTTTCCCTCGTTCTCACTTCTTCAAGTGAAACTCAAATCTTCTCCACCAAAATTCTCTCCCTCTAACATGTAAAGCCTCTCCTAAACCCCTCATTCCCCCAAACTCTCTTCTCTCCGCTTCAATCAAACCTTATATTGAGGCCCAGTACAAGCCTATTCTCGCTGGCTGGCTCTGTAGCCTTGTTTCAGTCTATTCTCTCTCCAAATCCATCCCCAAAATTGGAACTTTCTCGTCGTCAATATCGAAGTTGAGCGTAACTCATTTGAGAAATGAAGGGCTGGTTCTGGGTGTTTTTGTGTTGGCAAGACTGGTGGCCACTTACTGGCAACAAGCGTTTTTGTGGGAGGCGGCTTTGAGTGGGGTCCATGATTTGAGGGTTAATGTTTTTGAAAAGGTTTTGCAGTGAGACTTGGCGTTTTTTGAAGGTGGGTCTGGCGTTTTGGCTGGAGATATTGCGTGTAGGATCACTTCTGAAGCTAATGATGTTGCTGATGCTATTTATGCTCTTCTCAATGTGAGTGGTTTTTAAGGGTGCTTTTGTTGATCATACGAAAGTTTTCATTTATTAATTATTGCAAAATACGATAATGATATGTTTCTCTTATAAAAGAAATGACATCCTAATTTCATATAGGAGGATGACCCATCTTAAAATGTTAAAAATTTGATAGTAATTGGGTTTAAAATGCTATTTTTGTGATCGATATCTAATAATTTGTAGGAAAGGTGAAAATTAATGGATAGAGGAAAGTGATTGTGAACATGATTGCCTTAAAAGGGGCTAGTTCCCGATGTGTTATCAAAATGTATTGTTTAGAAATATTTGGCGGGTTTTGGTTTCAATTTTTTTTTTTTTTAAATTTTATTTTAAAGGTCTTTTAGGATGAATTTTTGTATTGTGTCTCAATACGGTTTTGTTGTGACTTATATTGCTGTATAAATCGTAACTGTCAATGTTGTGGATAAGGGATTAGAGTACGAATCATGAAGTTTTGTTTGTATGTTAGACCATTGTGCCCAGTGCACTACAGTTATCAGCAATGGCAATGCAGATGTTGGTTATCAGTCCTGTCCTTTCTATGATTTCGGCCATGGTGAGGATTTTTTGATTGGATTATTGTTTTTTTTCATTCTAGCTTCTTATGTTACTGGTCATTACTTTTCATCTGGGATGTGTATTATTTCTCTGGTTTTTGCTTGTAGGCCATTCCGTGTATGGCTCTTGTTATAACCTATCTAGGTGAAAGGCTTCGTAAAATATCTAAGAAGTCGAACCTCACCATGGCTACTCTATCATCCTACCTGAATGAGGTATATTATTATTTGGCTATTATTTTTTTATTTATGGGTTGTTGATGTTATAACTCTGTATCTTGCTTGTACAAGTTGTTCAGATTGCATACTCTGCTCCTGCCTGCTTTTTGTTTTGAATTTGTCAACCTTTCTTTCTGAGAGAGACACAAAATGCAGTAATTTGGCATATGTGGTTGTAAAAGTCTTCTGTCATGCTTATTACCTGAGTGTGTTTATGTACGTCTTATTTATGTTCAGGTCCTCCCAGCTATTCTTTTTGTTAAAGCAAACAATGCAGAGCTGTGTGAGAGTGCTAGGTTTCAAAGGTTTGCCCATTCTGATCTATCTGAACGTTTGAAAAAGAAGAAAATGAAAGCACTCATTCCCCAGATTGTGCAAATTATATATTTTGGAGCATTGTTTATTCTTTGTGCTGGATCACTGCTGGTTTCAAGTGGATCTTTTGATGCATGTACCATGGTTTCTTTTATAACATCATTAGCTTTCTTTATTGAACCAATCCAGGTAATAACTTTTTATAAAATGAGCTTGTTTGCTCATTTTCATTCTATATATAATAATTCTAGTTGTAGGAAGAGGCATTATTGGCTTCATTTCACGGGCTTGTATTAGAGTTATTATTGGGATGTTGTATACACTGTTTTGTTGTGTTATGGTATAATATATATAGATAGATAAATAGATAAAATTCCCTTCGGGGATGTATGTTCAAATTGTATGATTTAGTTGTTCTTCTTTTTACATAAAAGTAGTTTGACAGCCTCTTAGTATCTATTACCTTCTCAAAGAGTTGTTGAGTTGTCTAGGACTTTTGCTAATTACTGTTGCTATTATGCTTCAGCCTCTGAGGAGCTTTCTTTAGTTATCAATCTGAAAATAAGGAATCACGCAGGATATTGGAAAAGCATACAATGAGCTGAAGCAAGGGGAACCAGCTATTGAACGCTTGTTTGATTTGACCAAGTTTAAATCTAAGGTAATTTATTATTTGATTACATGTACTTCGTTTTCTCTGAAAATTTATTTTTTAATTCTCATTATTTGTCGAAGTTTTTTAACATGAACGGGAATGCACTAGAGTAAAGGGTACGGTCGTGAAATTGTAATTTGAGAAGTTCAAAACGAACTTCATTTTGATCTGTAAATCAGGTAAGGGCAGTTTTCAAGCTACTTTAGTTGTTCCGTGCCTTGGCTTGATGCCTTGTTTGTGCAGAATTTATTTCCACCTCATGTTTCTAACATTGCGAACTAACAAGTAAGCCACAGTTAATCCTGATTTCCATATTGTTTCTTGAATATAGGTGATTGAGAAACCAGATGCTGTTGATTTAGACTATATTAATGGAGATGTGAAATTCTGTGATATCTCGTTTAGATATGGGGACAACATGCCCCTTGTTTTGAATAAAATGAACCTCCATATCAGAGCTGGAGAGACGGTTGCTCTTGTGGGACCCTCAGGAGGAGGAAAGACAACCCTTGTAAAACTGCTTCTTCGCCTTTATGATCCATTATCTGGTGAGTCATCTGAATTCGTGTCTTCTCTTACTCTGCTATAAGGTTGGTGAATTGTAGACTTCTAAAAGTTGCATTTCTAATTTATTGAGAGTGCATATCTGTTTTCCCCATGTTGACAGGCCGTATACTTATTGATAACCATAATATCCAGAACATTCGATTGGATAATTTGCGAAGACATGTTGGTCTTGTTTCTCAAGATATAGTGAGTACCTGCCAACTAACTCTCTAGTAATTGAATTATTACTTATACTTATCATCGAACACTTCTAGACGGCATACCACATAGACTTGTCGTTGTGAACTTCCATTTGGCCTTACTGTTTTGTGATAATTTAGCTTGAAATTGCTGGATACTTTAACTAGTCTGTGTCTGTTGAAGGAGAAAAACTTAGATAGGACTGTCTTACCACATCATTATGCTGATGTGGTGAGACCATCCAATAAAAGTTTGCCACATGTTATGAGTTGACACTATTTAATAGCATTTATTTTTCTCTCTTCAATACTTACATAAGAATTTTAGCATTTTGCAGTAATTCTATCTCTCTCCTCTTCAGTGCTTTACCGTTTCTTTGTCAATATTTTCTTTTTTATCTTTCATTCTTTCTCAACGAAGAGTACTTCTATCTCTCACCTCTTCATCGCTAATTGCCTTTGCAGTTCTTTGTCTATATTTTCTTTTAAAATACATTTTCTTTTCATCTTTCTCAGCGAAGAGGCATTTCCATTATCCTCTGCCCAAGTCTCTAATGCAAAGCCAATTGCCACTCACCATGTCCATGGCTATGAACTGTTAATTAAAAATCACAATCAAATCAGTTGTTTATTAGAACTGACAAACCATATTATTTTTTAGTGTTAAAATATATTCGAAAATATTGCTAATGTTCTCAATATTTAAACTACAAGTTGAACTCCTCCACACCAGTTTAGATCTTGATTTTTTATATTTAAACCATTTGATATCTCATTGATAAACTCTAACAAATAAAACAAATGTCTGAAAAAAGAAAATTCGAGTTGATCGGCGAGTTTCCAACCGTTGGTGACTGGACAGAGAATGAATGGCTAGTGGAAGCAAAACGGCTGGACATAGAGTGAATGGCGAATGGAAGCAGAATGGCGGTGAAGAGGAGAGAGATAAAAGTATTGTAAAATACCAAAGTTTAACTATATGAAAAGAAAAAAAAAATGTTATTAAAAAATAAGTTTTTAATTGAGTCCCAAATCATAACATGTGCCAGATTTATATTGGATGGTCTCACCACATCAGCATAATGATGTGGTGAGACAGTCACATGTAAGTTTTTCTCCTGTTGAAGACCCGTCAACATGGAATTCTTCTATTTGTTCAGTTTTAGATGTTCATTTAATTTTGCTTGCACTTACTGTATAAGAAGAATGACAGTGATGCACTTGAGCGTCAAGTGGCTGTTCATTGTTTGAACTTCAACGTATTCAAGTTATGTTATTAATCATAGCCTCCTCCCTAGTCGTAGTTGAACATCTCATAAGGAGTTCAGGGTGTGGTCCATGCCCTATAATGCTAACTTTAATGCTTGCTTCACAGTTCATTTTAAGGGTATCTCTTGCTGGCTAATAACAGGATATCTAAGGAAGTTCTCTAAGAAATTCTTAGATTTGTTATGCTTGGGATCTTTCCAAATGGTTTGTTCTATAACTTTTGTGTATCAGACACTTTTTTCAGGGACAGTTGCTGAAAATATTGGGTACAGGGATCTGATGAGAAAAATTGACGTGGAGAAGGTTGAGCTTGCAGCAAGAACTGCAAATGCTGATGAATTTATTGGAAAACTTCCTCAAGGATATGAGACCAATATTGGACCTAGGGGTTCACGTTTAAGTGGAGGTCAGAGGCAAAGGTCAGGCTTCAAACATAGTGTAGCATGTAATTGATTAAAGGCTTCACCGGGAGAGCACCCGTGTTTTCTTTTAGGAGAAAGTCTTTGAAACCATCTGTTGCATGTAGAACCAACTAATAATGAGGCGCATGCATGTCCCATTCATTGGCATGCCCTTATTATTGGGTTGCACATGCAATGGATGCATTGAGGTTTTTTCTCTTCTTTTAGAGGGAATTAATGATTGTGTTGACAAGTCAACAATTTAACAAGATCAGACTTACAATTGTTTAACTTGTCTTGCTCATGAATGCAGACTGGCTATTGCAAGGACACTCTATCAGGACTTCTCAATATTGATTCTGGATGAAGCAACTTCTGCTTTGGATAGCAGGTCTGAGCTATTGGTGAGACAAGCTGTCGAGCGCTTGATGGAAAATCACACTGTAAGGATAATACTTCTTCCTTTATGAGCAACCTATTCTCCTTATATTTGATCTTTCTTATTTTTATTTGTTAATGAAGACAAATGCCAAAATTATTGTTATTCCATTTCTTCAGCACTGGTAGTTGGAACATAAACATGATATTTAATCAGTTTTACAGGCAGCTTTAGCTAAAGCATTAGTGGGATTTATTCGTGATAGTATAATATTCCAAAATCAGGTCTTGTGCAAAATTATACATATATATATATAAAAAATAGACTCATGGGAAATGTTACTATCATTTTCACTTTATGGGCAGGCATCTGTTTGAACAAATTAACTATGGTTGAGTGCAACTATATTTTCTTATATAAGATCAATTTCGTTATTCACCTATCAATACTGTAATTTGGTTGATAGGTGTTTGTCATTGCCCATCGTTTGGAAACAGTAATGATGGCGAAACGGGTATTCCTTTTAAATGAGGGGAAGCTAGAAGAGCTAAACCGGTCCACTCTCTTGAGCAGTAAATATGACTCTCTGGTATAGACTGGACTTGAGATTTGAGTTGTTTACAAAGGGGGTATCGAATCATAGAAATGGAGTGCGGGAATCAACATCAAAACCAGAGCTAGTTCTGCATTTGCTCAATCAAAAGGCACTTGGTTCTTTATGCATTAGTGTGTATATAGGTAGAATGCAGCAATAGCAGTATAGAATGAGTGACATGGCTTTTATAGGAATATAATTGTACATGTGACTTTAACTTGTTATTGATTAAATGATAGTAAGTTTCCATAGGAATTCCAATAGTTTTAAGTGTTAGCTTGGTCTGCAGTTCATCTTATATACCATAATATAATTTATATAACAATCTTTTATTTATCAATATATATATATTATTGTTTTTTAAAATATTATTATGTTATGCTTTAGTTGTAATTTAATGGTTTTTTTTTTTTTTTTTTTTATTAAGAGTTTATTCCTCCATGATATTTGTGAACAATGTAATCGCATAATTTATCTGAAACTACAGACATATTATTATATCACTTGGCATACAAATTTTTGAAAAATTAAACAAAGATTTAAACATAACATTGTCATGGAGTTAATCAAGTCAAAATTGTATTCAAATTCAATAACAGAGAAGTTATTTTAGCCTCATTAAATCTCTTTTTAAGCCCTTATTGACTAAATTTTATTAAATTAATTCCAAAAGCACCCTTGTCTTCTCTCTGTAACCTTTAAAGAGTTAAACTGCGTCGTATCTTCTGAGGCCCGCCCTTTCCTGAGGCTTCTAAGACGTTTCATTTTCAATTTACGCGCCTTCAAAATCCCGCGCTTTCTGTTCACAATAAGGTTCCGCGAAACCTCAAATTTTTAGGACTTAATGAAAAATTTAATTTCAGCAGCTTAATGTTCAAAGATCGAATTTAAGCTTGTTTCGTGCGTGGATTTATTATTGCTGTAAGTTTTATTTTGAATCTTTAAAGTTTGGTTGTATTTAATTGTTCAGAAAATTGAGGTGATGAGATTTGGTTCTGTATTTTGTGGTTGTACTTTTTCTCTAGTTGAACGTAAATGTTAAACAGTTAAAAGTGTTAGAAATAAAAATAACCTCAGCCTAATTGAAGACCCTAGAAAATTAAAAACTAATCAAAATAGCCCAAGATTTCTCTGTTTGGTTTGGATTAGTGTTTTGTCAAACAACCACCAAACCAAACGGTTTCTCTGCTAGGGTTTTGCTGTCTTCTTCCGGTACTTTCCTTCTATTTCGTACATTTGTATTTTTCTTCCTCATTTGATGAATATAATATAAAACATCCTTGTACAAAATTGTTTCACTCGTTTTTCTTGTGATTTGAATTGACTACAGTTGTGTTATGAGCTTAGTTTGCTTGATTTCATAGAGTAATGGGTTCTGGTTGGTTAGTTGAATCTGGGTGGTTTCTTGTTGCTACAGGAATCACTAGTTTTGTTCATAAAAGCTACCCACTGGGACGTTTTTCAATTATTTGTGTTGGCTAGGTTTATGCTCAACTGGGATTTACTTTTTTTGAGTTAACAAAATGTGTGTATTACGGCGTTGTAAAGGAAATGGGCATGAATTGACATGGGTATTGAAAATTTACTGAATATTTGCTTACTAGTCTAACAATTGCGGCATTGTGGATTGTGAGCAGTCAACTTGTTTATGCTTTACCTAAACTTCAGCATTTATTACAGCGAGTTAACTAATATGTATCTATTGAGATGTTGTATAATATAGGAAATGGTCATGATTGAGATGACTTTGAAAATGTATCAAATAGCTGGCGAAGGATTTAAGAGTTCACTTTTCAAGTTAACTAGAGTTTACCTGAGATTGTTCTCTGACATTTGATACTACAATATAATTTCAAATACGCTAAATTAGCGTTGTGGACATTCTACATATTAACACTTCAATGATAATTAATGCTCATAAATTTAGACTGGATTTAAAGCTGTAGTATCTGGAACAAGTAATAATTTCATTAATATGTAATGTTATTCCCAGCATATGCTTTCATGTTCCCTGTTCCTTTTTCTTTTTTATATTGCTGAGTAAAGACATTATACTTTATGTTATACTAGAATACATGCCTAAATTCGTGCAACTTTGATATAAATGGAACATTCTCTGTGCAGTTTAGAATTGCTGGAAAAATTAATGTTGCACATTTAAATATTTGTATAGAGGATATTTTATGGAACTGAATCTTTTATTATTATTAGGGAAAATCATTTTCCAATAGCCTAACGTTTATGCTGCCATTTTCAACGTTGTCACTAGTATTAAACTGCATATAAAATACAGATTAGGAACTGGAGGCTTTTTCTCCTTTTACTTTTGCTGCTCCCTTGTATTTTTTCTATTGCATTGAAATCACTTATTTTGTAATTCACCTCACGCAGATCAATTTTTCATTTCTTATATCTTGTTTTGTTTTTATCTTGTCACAAATGCATTTTCCCAGATATAGAGTTAAACAATTTATTGGCCATTTTTTATAATGTCATATCTATAATCTTAGATATCGAGGGATTCCTTGCTCCATTGTTTTTCAATTTGTTGATTATCATCATCATCCTCTTGATTATCAGTCAGAATCTGATTTGCCCCGTCTCTATGAATACTTTAACCATATTTTCATCCCTAATTTGAAAATCATTCACATTATAACTCCTTGGAGCCATATCTTATGGCACAAATTCAATAAAGAATATGTGTGGATAATTTGAAGAGGAAGATACGAAGTAGTTTAAAAATCAAAATTGGTTTTTGAAATTGATAATAAAATTCTTGCAAAGCAATTAAAAAGTTTATTCCTACTATCTATCCATTTGGCTTTACAATAAGTTTTACTTCATCTTTTATTCAATGTTCTTACATGGTGTGCCACTTTATATTTTGCAGGACATGGATACGTCAAACCCTGCAGTTTTTGTCAATGGAGGACTGCTGCACATGTATGTAGGACAGCGGGTTCGGACAGTGATTCAGGTTATACAATCTGACAGTGGAGGTTTAACAGGAAAATCCACAGATGATCACCAGCTAGTTGTAAAAGGTTCCCAACCAACATTTCCTCTGACAACTTTTGTCGAGGTTATTGGCATTGCTGATAGCGATAGATTTATCAGAGCTGAAATGTGGACCAACTTTGGGAACGCATTGGGTATGATTTTCTGCTACTTTAACATCTTTTTTGTCCTGTAATTCTGGTTCGAAATATGTCAATCCTATAATTTTCTTATACGATGGCATTATCAGCTAGATAATTCTAGCTGTAATTTTATAGAAAAGCTCCTTGAAGATGACACTGTTTCTGTAAGAATATAACTTCTTCTCAGCAGCAGAAACAAACATCATTTGCAGTGGCCTTCTGCTTCAAGGAATTTCTTGGAGCTTTAACAATGCCATTCAACTGATTATAATGGGGACTAAAGTTATTGAAGCCTGTAATATATGTTTAAATTACTGTCAGAAAATAGAAGTACTTAACTTGCACTAACATTAACAAAAAAATGTTTAGCATGTAGACACGTTTTGGTGCCATCTAAGAGTATTTCAACAGAGTTGAATCTATTAACTTCCAAAAGCTCACAATGACATCAAGAGAACTTTTATGGTAACTCTATGTGTTGATTGCCGATCCTATGAGCTTTTGAATAAGGGTTGATAAAGAGGAGGTAGTCCTCATCAACAATTCCTAATATATTAGTGTAGGTTTTTCCCGGTATTGTAATATGATTCCCATGTCAAAAGGTAACGCTGAGATTCAGAGAATAATTGTATAAGATGTATTACATAGATACCAGAAACTAATGCTTGGTTCTTTAGGAAAACTTGTATGTTCTTTGATTCTCTAAACCTTGTTGTGGTTTCTAAAACATTTTTATTCTTTTTCTAAATGGTGGCAGATACATACAACTATAATCAGCTTTGTCAGCTTGCAAATGGAGAATACAAACACTTGTTCATTTGAACTGAAGCACTTTCGGAATACTTTCATGAAATAGTTAGGTGTTTTCTATACCGTTTTGCGAACCTGTGTCAGTCTTGAGTAAGCTATTGTTGAAATTTTAAGTTACATCTATAGCGCATGTTTGGCCTTTTGATGATAGTAAAGCCAGTTGTTAGTCCATTGCATTTTCTCTTTGTCCGAATCCATCTGGATATGACTTCTGATTGTTTATTTGGCCAAGAAAATCAAATGAATATAACAATGGTGACAATTCTTTTGATTGGAGTGTTGCTTATGAGATTGATAGTCACTCAATTCATTAACTTGAAATCTCCTCTATAAAACCCTTAATTTAATTATTATATTTTTATAAATATTAATAAATAAATTTGATTAAACTACATATACATTTACACTTGCAAACGAGTGAGATCTCACAAATGTAAGTGGTTATTTCCAAAAGGAATGTGTCAATTTCATTTTCACAAGGTGTAACTAGTAGCATTTTATGTAAATTAATGACAAATAAATAAAAAATCAGAGGAAAACAAGAACATTGCCAGGAAGACAATACAAATATAAAATTACTTGATACAAGGAACAAAACCATTTTCTTTTTTACCCTTTCCTCCCATGTTTCACCATCTTCCATTAGATTTCATCATCAAAAACAACCAAAACTTGGAATCCTTAAAAGACAAGACTATAACTTATACAAGAAAGCAAACAAAATTTCGGAATCTTCAAAACATCTTACACTTCGACATATTCATGTATCAGCTCTGTTAGGCTTCATGTATTTGCTAAACCTTTGCGACACCCCAGCATCAGATAAAGTATCCCATACCTGCAATAATAATCCACCAACATCAGTCATTCATCATTCTTACCAAATTTCATAAACAGCCAAACCAAATATTTTACTCACCTCCAAATTTCCTTTGGACCCTCCAATCGCTAGCAAAAATGGACTATCCTCTGAGAAGGAAACAGAAAAAATACCTCCCTAACAACATTTACAATATGTAGTGTTACAACCCATCTCAAACTAATGGAAATTGTGAATGCTTCGCCACCAGATAACAAAACAACTTACTGCTTTAGGATTCCTGGATCCAACACATGAAGGTTGGTTGTTAGACAAATCCCAAAGTTTCACCTGCATCAAACCATAAAAACACTTCAGAACTCGCAGAAGGCGCATGATGGATAGGGAATACAAAAATAGCTTGGAAGTTACCATTTTATCAGTAGATCCAGTCGCAAGAAGCTGTTAAAAATCACGAGGGCAAAATTGTTAGATGTACTCCAGATTTTTTTTCAAAAAATCTGGCAAAGGATTGAAGTGAGGATAAATATGTACATTGGGTGCTAATCGATTATAGGAGACGCTACAAACAGCCTTGTCATGTGCATGCAGAGTAAAACTTGGTTGTGACTCTGATGCTGGATCTGATTTGGCTGTCCGGATATCAAAACCTTTCACTGTACCATCTTCAAGACTCACCTAAGAAGACATGAAATTATTGTTAACCAACTGGGAATGCCTGAAACCAAGCATGTACCAATCTAAATTTACAAACAAATTGAACTCCCATCTATTTACATTGTTCTTCAGACTTTTGAAATTATCTATAAGAAGAGAAGAATGCACACACCACAAATGAATGCTCAGTGTGTGGATCCCACTCCAAGCTTTCTACATCAGCTGCAACTGACCACTTGAAACCAGAATGCGTAAATATCCTTGCATCCTTCTGCAATGTATAACAATAGAGAATACATAAAATATCTACAAAGAGAACCAAAAAATAACTTACAGGTCAAAATCTTGAAAACTTGGATTTCTCATCTCAAAAACGAGATTCTCCGCCAATGCCTTTAATATACATGATAGGTAAAGCAAGTAAATAAGTTCCTTACCATGACAACTGAACGATCAAAAGATCCACTAAGTAGGACTTGGGGAGCATAATGATTCCATGCAACCGCTTGAACCTGGAAGGATTAGTAAGAAATGCTAAAACTCAGTCCATTTAAACAAGTGTCCAAAAGTTTGCCCACTCCATAAAAAATTATTAAGGTTACTGTCAACAGTAGTCTAAATTTGGTGCATCATCCATATTTATATTATTTCAAATCATTAGGTATTTTGTACTGGTGTAGAAAAAAATGCATCCTCATTGTCAATTCTCTATGTTACAAATTCCACATAAATCAAGAACTTTTAGTCAAACAGTAAGAATAGCAACAAGGAGGGCATGCCCTCCCCCGCTTTTCACCTAAATCCTGTTTTACTCCCATAACCAGCACCATCTTTTATATCAAAAATCTGAATGATCCCTAATAAAAATAAGAACCTTCTTTTAAATTTACATGTGTAATAACATTCCAATTCCTATATTAATAAAAGAAGTTGGCTTCTTCTTATATTTCTTAGAAAAATTGAGAACAAATATATACAGACCAAAATTCCTATATTAAAAAGAAAATTAAACTCATACACCATTTAAAAAAGGAAAGAAAAAAAATGAAATTTCCATTTCATCTTCCTGCCAAAAATACAAATATAACTTACTACTTTTCTCATTTATGTACAATAGAAGCTTCAAACAGGATCAAACAACTTTTTTTGAGAAACCAAACTTGTCAACAAGTTATTAGCAAGCGTTTTAGGAGTCTTCAGTTTAAACTTACTATATCATGTGGGCGGCCATGTCCTAATTCCAAGCCTTTCCCATCAGTCCCCAACTACCCATAGTTCCTTCTTCAAAAGGAATATCTAACCAAACTGTGGGGCTGTAATTCTAAGAGTTTGTCTGGAATATGATCTCCAAAACAATTTTCAAAAATTAAAATTAACCCAAGTTATGAGTTTCACATTAATGTTCTATTTAATATCCATATATATGTTAGTAATAATATTCTAATGTTTACAAGGTTGAAATTATGAAAACAGTGAATCTTTTCCCCCTTTTTTAGAATTTCTACAAGTTTTTAGGATTGTATTTAAAAAGGATATTTGAAAACATTACCACAAAGCGCATTTCTCAAGATTCCCTCTCGTTCTATAAAACAAAGAATGGTATCTAAATTCTATATCAAACAGAAATAACACATCAAGTGTTTTCCAATCTTAGATGTCTTCTTTAATATCTAAATGGTGAAGGTTAGAACTGTAGTCACTTGCAACAAAAAAGAAGGTTCAGGAATTAAGCTCTACCATAGTACAACGAGTAGATTTAGGCTTCAAAATCAGGGTGATAAGAATTGGTATCATACATGAGGATTGTAGCATCTCCAAATGCTTATCCTCTCTTTTATACATATTGCTTTCAAAATTTACGAGGATATTCCAACATGTATACTTACTAGATCATTAAATAATTGTAATTAAGAGTAAGGTGCTATACCAAAACTATACAACTTTGGTATAGTACATCATACATATATGAGTGAAAGATAAATACCAATGGTGTGAAGGTAAATACATGCCTTATCTGTATGATGTTCCAAGGTGAAATTACATTTTCCTTCAACCACATCCCAAATCTTAACAGTTTTGTCAGCACTTGCACTGGCTAGGATGTTCCTGTTTTTTTATTCCAAGTTAGAAAATAAAGGAAAAAAAGAGAAGTAAAAGATAACAGAACATTAAGATATACATGGAAGCAAATTACACTTGAATGATTTAACACACCTGAACTCTTTGTTCCAAGCAAGACCTAGAACTGAATCAGTATGACTGCCTTCTTTGTATTCAATGGATGACTTAACACAACACAAATAGCAGGCATATTTAAAAAGTATTAGTCAAATTCATATCCACATGAAAACTTGCAAATAAGATGATTACTATTATAAAGGTAAATGAAAATATACATTAAGTGAACAAACATCATAAACCTCAATTCCACATCACACTCAAGAAAGATGGCCAATATAAAAACGGAATCTCTTTAAAGGATGAATAATAAATCCCACTTATAAAATAACAAACAGACACAATTAGACATATAGTCCCAAGCAGAATCAAAGCCAAATTCAGTGCACGGTATTTTGATGTTTGTCATTCAATATTTTTTATAATGCTTACAAAACTTATAACCATGCAATCCAGTATACTAACCATAGGAGCTACTGGAAATAAGAATAATTTTTCTCCAAGCACCAATAACAAGATTTCAAGTTCTAAGTGGAATCATCATCATCATAGTATACGCTACAGAAATGACGATGATATTTCAAATTGAAGGTTTTGGAGAAAATTAACTTGGAAGCACATAAAAAGCAAACCTTTTTGCCTTTCTTCTTCTTCTTCTTCTTCTTCTTGATCTTCTTCTCCTCATTAATGCCACCTAGTATGAGACATGGTTGTACTTCTTCAATCTGAAAACAGCAAAAATAATAAGATATTTTTTGCAAAATATCTCCAAAAATTATCTAATAAACTTATATCTCATGAGATAGTTATACACAATCAACATACAACGTCAAGGTCCCATATCTCGATGGAAGGTTCCATTGAGCCAACAGCCATAAAATTCCCTGTCAGCATAAAGAAAGCATTCAGTAGCAAATTCATTACAACACATGAAGAAAGTCAAGAAACAAATATATTTTGGGCAAAAAAAAATAATAATAATAAAAAAAATAAAAAATAAAACAAATGCTAAGTATGCAATGTACCAAGTTAAACCACAAAAATATTCCAACTTCACTAAAAAGAAAGATGAAATTAGAACTCTGTAAATATGTTGCTTTTCTCTCTTTTTATATATATTTTTATTATCTATTATTCCTCTTATTCAGCAGTTACTTCCCAAACAAATAAAGGGAAAGATTGAGAAGAGGTTTTATTCACCTCCCTATGATTTGAAAAGGAATAAAGATCCTTAGTTGATCTAATTTACTTAATCCTTTAGGCGTCTAATGCCACATGGCAATTGCAAAATTATAAAGTAAAGACTTGGTTGCACTGTTTAAATTTTCCAATTTACCATCTATCAATTAAACACCTTCTTTCATTTTTAGAAATAGCAACAGTAGC